AGCTTCCAATTGTTGAAAGATAAGCTCACCTCCGCTCCGGTTTTGACCTTACCGAAGGGCACCGAAGGGTTTGTAGTATATTGTGACGCTTCTCGAGTGGGTTTGGGTTGTGTCCTCATACAACATAGTAAGGTTATAGCTTATGCCTCGAGACAACTCAAGGTGCATGAGAAGAATTATCCAACTCATGACCTTGAGCTAGCGGCCGTAGTTTTTGCTTTAAAGATTTGGAGACACTATCTCTATGGGGTACATGTGGATGTGTTTACCGACCACAAGAGTCTTCAATATGTTTTTAGCCAAAAAGAATTGAATCTCCGACAAAGTAGGTGGTTGGAACTCTTAAAAGATTATGATATGAGTGTCATTTACCACCCCGGAAAATCAAATATGGTTGCGAATGCTTTGAGTCGTATATCTATGGGTAGTGTGTCACATGTGGAAGAAGAGAAAAGGGGAGTTAGCTCGTGATGTACATAGGCTAGCCCGGTTGGGTGTCCGACTTGAAGATTCCCCAAAATGAGGTGTTATGGTCCGTCATAATTCCAAGTCATTGGTTGTTGTTGACGTGAAGTCTAAGCAACATCTTGACCCTATTTTGATGGAACTAAAAGAGTCGGTTCTCAACAAAGCAATAGAAACTTTCTCTCAAGGAGAAGATGGGGTGCTTAGGCACCAAGGAAGATTATGTGTGCCGGATGTGGATGGCCTAAGAGAGATAATCTTAGAGGAGGCCCATGGGTCCCGATACTCCATCCATCCGGGTGCCACCAAAATGTATCGCTACTTACGTGAGATTTATTGGTGGAACGGAATGAAAAGAGACATAGCAGATTTTGTGGCTAGGTGCTCAAATTGCCAACAAGTCAAAGCCGAGCACCAAGGACCGGGAGGTCTAACTCAAGATATTGATACCCCCACTTGGAAGTGGGTAGAGATCAATAGGGACTTCGTGGTAGGTTTGCCTCGAACCCGTAGGCAACATGATTCCATTTGGGTCATTGTGGATTCACTACACCATTTTAGGCCTAAGGCTACACTAAATCTGGACAACACTTGAAAAGTGTTGCCTAAACTATTTTCGAATACGCTTTCAAAGCGTAGTCTTAGTAATTAACTTTTGGCCACAGAAACTTTTGACAACATTTCTCAAACGTGCTCTTTAATATTATAGACTACGCTTATAAATGTAGCTAAATGATTTAATAATTAGCAACATTTATTTACATATATGGTTACACTTTTAAGTGTGGCATTTCTATAATTCTAAAAACCACACTTAATAAGTGTGCTCTAATAATCTTTAAAAAAATTCAACCCAAATAATTGAATCCCACCGTATATCTAAATCTCCCCCTAATTTCTAAAAAGCTGAATATTAGGGTTTTCATAAAATCTGCCAACACTGAGAGGCGAGATTGATTTCTCTGGTAAGTTCTTCTTTGTGAAATTGATTATGAGATAACTGCTACAAGGAATAAGGCTACATGGAAATGACCTCTTCTCGGTGAAATTGGTACTGTCATTTTTGGCGAATTTCAGCTAAAATGGGTTAACTCTGCTAGTTGAAGTGAGGTTTCTTCGGTAAGCACTTGTTTTCCTCTTCTTGATTTCTCTAGTGTATCTCTTCATGTTACAATGAATATTTATTCTTGATTTCTACAGCTTTATTTGTATGTGTTTCAGCGAGATTTCTCTTTTTTTTTCTTCTTGTTTCTAAGAATTAATGACTATGCTTAACGCCATGTAAATAGAAGTTGTAGAAATTCTTTTAAAATTTGGTCAAAGAAAGAATTACCGGTCTTTGCCTAAATCTTAAATGGTTTTTCTTTGCCCAAATCTTTATTGCATTTCTCTTTCCCCAAATAGTAGTTACAGTCCTCAGATTTTCTTTCTCGGTGAGTTTCTAGTTTCCTTGTTAATGCCCAAAACTGAGATTCGCTGATGTTTTTTATTTGGTTTTTCCAATTTATTACCTGTTATGAAAGTCTTTGCATAAATGAATTTGATTTTTAATGTGTTGAATATGAAATTATTGCTATGAAATGCGAGCTTTGTTCCACTAGATATTATTTCGTGTCTTTTGGATTTCTGCATTTGAGCTCAAAATGGTTACCTATAAGGTCTGCATACACAATATTCCTTGTAGAGTCGCTAATGAGATTATACAGGGTATGTTGGTGGTGGTTGAAAGGCATCAAAATATTCTAAGAAAAATGTAAATTTATTTTTTTGGAATTTACTGATATGTTGTTATTTGTCCGTCTGTTATTTATGAGGTACACATGTTTTTTCTAGATGATATAAATATGTCAATGGTTACAAACTTATATATAAAACTGAGTTCATAAAGTGTAGTGCACTTTCAAACTATTCATGAAAATTCCAGTTTGATTAGAGAAGAAGGCGGTCGAAGGTGGGTGGGGGTGTTTTCTGAGTGGTGAAATGTACTTGTAAATGAGCATTGTTTGTGCCAATGTCGGCTGTTGGTTTGACTTGGGATACTTGTCTATCAATTTATAAGATCGTTTAGCAAATCGATTAGTTCATTAACCATAGGTGTTTTTGGCAATATCATGAAGAATTGTCATCCTCATTTGATACTTTTTAAGATGGAATATTACTATTTATAAACTAGTTATTTTATCAAAGTTGTTGATGTTGTTTAATTTTGCAACAGCCTGCAGTTTACATAGCAGAAAGTGTTATAAGCTCTAGAATAGAAGGTACCTGACCCGATGCAGCAGAGAACACCGTAGCTATTGCAGCTGGGTAAGCTTAATCTCTGGTGCAGCTAGTTCATCGATTCTCCTTCAAGTTGGGAAGAACTCGCCTTCTCCGATACAAATAGTGGAGTACTCGGGACCATCACTTAGCTACTATATCAACAAGCTTAAGCCCATGAAAGTAGTCCAAACTTCAGTAACCGAGACACCAACTGCACCAGAAGTTTATGGTTTACAAGCTTTAGTTGCAGCACCAGAAATAGAGGCATTGAATGCACCAAAAATTGAAGCAATAAATGCAACAGAAGTTGAATTCTCTAAGCCAGAAGCTCCAGCTCCCTAAGTTGAGGTACAATCGAAAATCCTTCCGTACACTTCAAGTTCAAGTTCTAACATCTCTTAGGACAAATCATTTTGTCTTTTTGTATATTTTATTTGTAGATAATCTTGTATACATATTTCAGTAACTTTTTGTATTACTATTATTCAAAAAAGAACTAATGTGCGTGTTAAAAAACAATTATGAATTCGTAATTGAGTTACCTCAATAATCATATCTCCATATGAATAATCTCTTCACGTACACATTGAACTATCAATATTACTAATGTACTAATCCAATTTATTATCAGATTTCTAACCAAAACTAGCTTCATTTGTTTGTTTGTTTGTTTGCCCCTTGTAAATCGGATTCTACAGAATGTCCAGGAGACATGTTTGTATATTTTCGTTACCGTATTTTAGAACATATTAAGTTAATTTTACCCTTGTGTATGTATGAAGCGAGTGATATTTTATATTTACAGGTGTATAATGACCTACTACTATTGATGTGGTTTGTTCCTGTGACTTGTATGCAAACTTTAAGTTGATTCTTCTTTTCTCAGTTGCTGGTTAGTGTAGGAGGAGACGATGGTATTTTGCGTGAGGTATCTTATCATTATTTTGTCGAACATGTTGATATATGTAAGATTGACAAGATGGCAATCGAGGTAAGCATACTCTTAAATGCTAATGTTTGTTCATAAAAATGTATATTTTGGTCACCATTGACATTTTTCATCTCCTCTAAGGGTAGAGGAACGTTATTGATTCTTCTATTTACATGTATTAGTAGTTTCTTATGTCATAGTTTATCTTATCAGGAAGTGCTACTTTTCAGGTCCATCCCAAGAGTTGTGTGTAAAGTCTTTCTTTGAAACTATAGCAAAGGCTCTTCGTCCAGGTTGCAGGCTGAGGGCATATGGATTTACATGCACATAATTAGAGAATTGTTGCTCATTTCTTTCATATCTTCAATGGCTCAGTTAACTATGCATGGACTACTGCTCCGACTTATCCAAGGTAACATGGCAACTCTATTGCTTATCTTTAACCAAGAGTGTTTCGAATCCTTGTTCTTGCTTGTTTTCATTTTTTTTAATTGAATGGTGTTGTGTGAAAAAAAAATAGTTTACAGTAAATAAAAGGGTTTGAGCAAAGTGATTATCTTGATTAATTTTAGTTTGAGTTTCTCTTTTGTTGCCATTTCTGTTCTATATGTGCATGTACTTGTTATGGTAGTATTTTCTGTTTTAAAGGTTTCAATAAGCTCTCACAATAAATTACAGGAAGTACTATTTGTGATCAATAATTAAATATAAGTAAAGACCTAAGTTAGAATAAGATATACTCAGACCTTCATATTTTTCTCTAATTATTGATCACAAATAGTACTTCCTGTAATTTATTGTGAGAGCTTATTGAAACCTTTAAAACAGAAAATACTACCATAACAAGTACATGCACATATAGAACAGAAATGGCAACAAAAGAGAAACTCAAACTAAAATTAATCAAGATAATCACTTTGCTCAAACCCTTTTATTTACTGTAAACTATTTTTTTTTCACACAACACCATTCAATTAAAAAAAATGAAAACAAGCAAGAACAAGGATTCGAAACACTCTTGGTTAAAGATAAGCAATAGAGTTGCCATGTTACCTTGGATAAGTCGGAGCAGTAGTCCATGCATAGTTAACTGAGCCATTGAAGATATGAAAGAAATGAGCAACAATTCTCTAATTATGTGCATGTAAATCCATATGCCCTCAGCCTGCAACCTGGACGAAGAGCCTTTGCTATAGTTTCAAAGAAAGACTTTACACACAACTCTTGGGATGGACCTGAAAAGTAGCACTTCCTGATAAGATAAACTATGACATAAGAAACTACTAATACATGTAAATAGAAGAATCAATAACGTTCCTCTACCCTTAGAGGAGATGAAAAATGTCAATGGTGACCAAAATATACATTTTTATGAACAAACATTAGCATTTAAGAGTATGCTTACCTCGATTGCCATCTTGTCAATCTTACATATATCAACATGTTCGACAAAATAATGATAAGATACCTCACGCAAAATACCATCGTCTCCTCCTACACTAACCAGCAACTGAGAAAAGAAGAATCAGCTTAAAGTTTGCATACAAGTCACAGGAACAAACCACATCAATAGTAGTAGGTCATTATACACCTGTAAATATAAAATATCACTCGCTTCATACATACACAAGGGTAAAATTGACTTAATATGTTCTGAAATACGGTAACGAAAATATACAAACATGTCTCCTGGACATTCTGTAGAATCCGATTTACAAGGGGCAAACAAACAAACAAACAAATGAAGCTAGTTTTGGTTAGAAATCTGATAATAAATTGGATTAGTACATTAGTAATATTGATAGTTCAATGTGTACGTGAAGAGATTATTCATATGGAGATATGATTATTGAGGTAACTCAATTACGAATTCATAATTGTTTTTTAAAACGCACATTAGTTCTTTTTTGAATAATAGTAATACAAAAAGTTACTGAAATATGTATACAAGATTATCTACAAATAAAATATACAAAAAGACAAAATGATTTGTCCTAAGAGATGTTAGAACTTGAACTTGAAGTGTACGGAAGGATTTTTGATTGTACCTCAACTTGGGGAGCTGGAGCTTCTGGCTTAGAGAATTCAACTTCTGTTGCATTTATTGCTTCAATTTTTGGTGCATTCAATGCCTCTATTTCTGGTGCTGCAACTAAAGCTTGTAAACCATAAACTTCTGGTGCAGTTGGTGTCTCGGTTACTGAAGTTTGGACTACTTTCATGGGCTTAAGCTTGTTGATATAGTAGCTAAGTGATGGTCCCGAGTACTCCACTATTTGTATCGGAGAAGGCGAGTTCTTCCCAACTTGAAGGAGAATCGATGAACTAGCTGCACCAGAGATTAAGCTTACCCAGCTGCAATAGCTACGGTGTTCTCTGCTGCATCGGGTCAGGTACCTTCTATTCTAGAGCTTATAACACTTTCTGCTATGTAAACTGCAGGCTGTTGCAAAATTAAACAACATCAACAACTTTGATAAAATAACTAGTTTATAAATAGTAATATTCCATCTTAAAAAGTATCAAATGAGGATGACAATTCTTCATGATATTGCCAAAAACACCTATGGTTAATGAACTAATCGATTTGCTAAACGATCTTATAAATTGATAGACAAGTATCCCAAGTCAAACCAACAGCCGACATTGGCACAAACAATGCTCATTTACAAGTACATTTCACCACTCAGAAAACACCCCCACCCACCTTCGACCGCCTTCTTCTCTAATCAAACTGGAATTTCCATGAATAGTTTGAAAGTGCACTACACTTTATGAACTCAGTTTTATATATAAGTCTGTAACCATTGACCTATTTATATCATCTAGAAAAAACATGTGTACCTCATAAATAACAGACGGACAAATAACAACATATCAGTAAATTCCAAAAAAATAAATTTACATTTTTCTTAGAATATTTTGATGCCTTTCAACCACCACCAACATACCCTGTATAATCTCATTAGCGACTCTACAAGGAATATTGTGTATGCAGACCTTATAGGTAACCATTTTGAGCTCAAATGCAGAAATCCAAAAGACACGAAATAATATCTAGTGGAACAAAGCTCGCATTTCATAGCAATAATTTCATATTCAACACATTAAAAATCAAATTCATTTATGCAAAGACTTTCATAACAGGTAATAAATTGGAAAAACCAAATAAAAAACATCAGCGAATCTCAGTTTTGGGCATTAACAAGGAAACTAGAAACTCACCGAGAAAGAAAATCTGAGGACTGTAACTACTATTTGGGGAAAGAGAAATGCAATAAAGATTTGGGCAAAGAAAAACCATTTAAGATTTAGGCAAAGACCGGTAATTCTTTCTTTGACCAAATTTTAAAAGAATTTCTACAACTTCTATTTACATGGCGTTAAGCATAGTCATTAATTCTTAGAAACAAGAAGAAAAAAAAAGAGAAATCTCGCTGAAACACATACAAATAAAGCTGGAGAAATCAAGAATAAATATTCACTGTAACATGAAGAGATAAACTAGAGAAATCAAGAAGAGGAAAACAAGTGCTTACCGAAGAAACCTCACTTCAACTAGCAGAGTTAACCCATTTTAGCTGAAATTCGCCAAAAATGACAGTACCAATTTCACCGAGAAGAGGTCATTTCCATGTAGCCTTATTCCTTGTAGCAGTTATCTCATAATCAATTTCACAAAGAAGAACTTACCAGAGAAATCAATCTCGCCTCTCAGTGTTGGCAGATTTTATGAAAACCCTAATATTCAGCTTTTTAGAAATTAGGGGGAGATTTAGATATACGGTGGGATTCAATTATTTGGGTTGAATTTTTTTAAAGATTATTAGAGCACACTTATTAAGTGTGGTTTTTAGAATTATAGAAATGCCACACTTAAAAGTGTAACCATATATGTAAATAAATGTTGCTAATTATTAAATCATTTAGCTACATTTATAAGCGTAGTCTATAATATTAAAGAGCACGTTTGAGAAATGTTGTCAAAAGTTTCTGTGGCCAAAAGTTAATTACTAAGACTACGCTTTGAGACATGAAGTCCCACTAGCCTCATATTTTTCCTCCTACTCCTAGCCATAGTTGAGGTTAGTAGTCTCTCTTAATTTGGTATAAATTGAAAAATCATGTGTGTTGATGATTATGACATGATTTCCTTGTATGTGCATATTTTGTGAAAATTCATGCTTAAGTTGTATTTTGAGTTTTCATGAATTTTGTTTCTCATGGTTGATATTGCACCCATAAATGTTGTGTGATGTTGTCTTCATGAGAGTTGTAATAAGCATGCTTGATGTTGTCTTGTTAAAGAAATGTCTTGTTGATTGCTTAATGTATATGTTTATGCTCATTGAATATGGAGAAGGTAGTTCCTCCTATACTTATGTGAAGTAAAGAGTTTTGAGCATAGTGATGTTGTAGATTAAATTAATATATGGTATGATGATATGATGTTGTTGAGGTGACTGGTTGTTGTGCTGCTAGTTTGAGTCATTGTCTCCCTAGAAAGAAGTCCATGTGACATTCGGGGACGAATGCTCCTAGTGGGGATATTGTAACACCCCGAAAATTCTATGACTCGTAGTAATTTCTTGATTCAAGTCCGATTGAATGTGTGACACCCCAGAAATTCTATGACTTAAGTTAGAGCCTCACCTTATGAATAATGACTTAAAAATAGTTAAAATGATGTTTATAAACCTAAACTAATGTAATTTACTTGGTTTGGAAGAGTAAAAGTCTAAACGTCAAGAAACGACCACGACGTCCGGAAACTAGAGAAGAATGTGTTCTAGTGTGTCCTTAGGTTTTTGGGCAGGTTTGGGAGTGTTGTATGATGGTATAATCTGGTGAAAACGTTTAAAATAGGTAAATATAAGTTCCTAGGGTCAAAACGTTCGAATACGACTCCCCGGGGCCACCCTAAGGGGCCCCAAGGAGGACCCCAACCTTGGCCAAGCAAGCTGCCAAGGCAGCTTGCAAATTACAAGTTGTGCATAGAGGGAATGAAGGCGCGTCGCGCACTGGCTCCCCCAAGGAGCAAAAAGTCAGTTCGTGACGCGGTCGTGTCACGGACTCTACTGTCTCAAAATTTAATTCCAAATATCTTCAGGGAACAGCTCCGCGTCGCGGAATTGTTCCGCGACGAAAATACAGAAATTTAGAACCTATTTTTACTTCATTAAAGAGTCCATTCAAGTGAGGGGTATTTAGGGTACTTTAGGGGGTGTGTATATAATGATTTGTAAGTCAATTTACCTCACTCTTATCACTCAAACACAAACCCCAAAGATCTAAACCTAAAGTTCCTCCTTCTCTCTACTCTCTCTCTTCTCAAGAACTCCATTGAAGAAAATTGGA